TTTTTTTTTTACTCGGACTCAGTGGGTCTGAATCCCACTTCCAGTCCTAGAGAATGGAGGGGGTAAGGAGGGGCAGCCGGGGTCTCCCCCACCCCTCAGGTGACCCCTGAACATGCGCTAGGGAGAGTGATGATGGGGAGGCCTGGGCACAAGTCCAAAGGAAACTTTGGTAATAGGGTGTGTGTGGGGGCGGGTGTATGTGTTCTTTTAAGTTTTGCAAGAGCAGTTGCCTGCAGGAGGAGGAGAATGACTGCCTTCCATACTGTTAGGGACTGCTTTTCCCTGTGAATGGGCCTCGTGGCCGCGCCCTAAATTGTGGGAATTTGCTTGAGCTCCCCGGCCTGCAGTTCCTGGGCCAGTGCTGCCCTCTCCTGGGCTCTGCTGGGAGCTTCCAGTGGTGAGGATGTCAGTGCAGGCGTTCGACCAGCAGGGGGAGCCTTGGGGCCGAGACCAGTTTCCCACGCGCAGCAAGGTCAGCCCATTTTGCAGGAAGCACAGGAACTAGGAAGCTGGAAAGCTACACTCTGGAAAGACCCTGTGCCTGCCTTGTGTTGCAGAAGCTGCAAGGATTGTTCGCTAGCTGCCAGAGCTCAAGGCCTCCTCACCTTCCCGTTTCTCCTGTGTCAGGACCCCTCAGGTCAGGAGTCCAGCGGGGCCCTTTCCCCACGTCAGGCGCCTCTTGCTGCCAGCCCAGTGTTGGCTGGAGAGAGGCAGAGCTCCGCGGGGGACTGCTGCTCCTGGGGCGCGCGGATCCACACTCCAGATGTTGAAGGCATTAGCAACAGGGGCAGTGATGCTGGATGTGTCCTGGCCACCAGGCCTTCACAAACTTGGCCCAAGTAGGGTCAGTGGTCCACAGCAGGAAAACTGGGAGGGACCCCCCATCCCTGCGGGGCAAGGGGCGTGGTTCCTGCCTGCCCTGGGGGGAGCCCCTCTCAGAGTGTGGGCCTTTGGTGGTTTTTTAGAGACTCCTAAACCAACTTATAATTGAAGACACTTCCACACAGAAGGGATTCCTAAGCCAGGATCAGTGTCTTCCTGTGCTATGAGTATATCTTGCCTGGTCTGTAAGTTTTGTACATTTCTTCCTAAGTGAAATTTGGCTTTTTTCCTCCACTGTGATCTTTAAGTTGTTAAAAAAACTTGAGGGAAAAGATTTATCTAATTTATTAAAAGAGAGAAAGCCTTCCCTTGACATCTAAACTTTCAGGAGTAAGAGCTCCTTGAAGGGGAAGTAACTTCTTTTAATGCCAGTGAACACCTCATTTATTTCGTATGTAACTTGATTTGCACATGAACAAATCAGAGAGGATTTTTGCATTTTTGCTTAGATTGGGTCTTTGTCACTGCCTATCGTTTGCTTTTTTTGTGTTTGCTGTACATTTGGGAATGAGAGTCTGTTTCTTTGATATTTATTGTTTCTCTGAGGTGCCTTCTCACTTTTCTTTGGGGTTGGTTTTGGAATCTGGGTGCTGTTGAAGAGAGCAGACTCCTCCAGCTTGGAGACAGGGCCTATCCTGCGTCACTGCAGCTCAGCTGGGCACTAGCAACGCCCTACAAGCCCCGAGGCCAGCACGTGTATGCATGTGAAAACCCCCATGAAGCAGTGAAAACCCCTAGAGAAGGGCTGGCTTCCTTGAGACCAGCCCACACCTTCCCAGGCTGCTCAGTCCTTCTTTGGGTCTGGGGCCTGCGCTCCCTGCCACTGGGCACTTGGTGAGGTGTGGCCAGGGCAGAGGGCCAGCCCTAGCTGAGGGGTTGCACTGAAGGGGAGCAGGGCACGCTGAGCCCATTAGTAGCACTGGCCCCTGAACACTTTATCTGGTCCACATCACTAAGGGGGAGGAATCTGCATGCCTTGTTTCCTTAGTGAACACGGCTTAATGTGACTACTTGGTTTCGTCTGGGAGGAGAGCCCTCTCAGTGGTCATGAAGGCATGAATGTGACAGGTTGACTGAAACCGTGTGCTCTTCACAGGTGAGCTTGTGCTTTGTGGACTAGACCAAGGCGGGCCACCCCACTTTCACAAGGTGGCTAACTCAGATTGTGTATATAATAGGACATTACCACCCCTTCCATGCCCCCCAAATCCTTGATTTTTTAAAAAAAAGTTTATTTCTTAACGACAGGCTCTGTTGTATGTGCTACTATCCCAAGCCTGGATTGCTTTATTTATTTAAAAATACTTTAAATACTTGGCTTCATTCCGATTCCATCCATCCCTTCAGGGCCACAGAGCACCTCCATGTGAAGAGACACCCAAGTAGACCCGGGCTTCTTTGGGAAGGTGGGATTTCCTAAAGCCGAGCGCCAGTTCCTTTCATTCCTATTGACTTCAACAAAAAGTGGGAAACCGAGTTTTTATAGCAAAAGGCCAAACTAGCTATAGAGTCTCAGATGCAGAAAAAAGAATTACCCTAGCTGTCTTAGTACTTAGGGGTTTTGTGAGGATTCAGTGTTTAGCAGTGCCCGGCACATAGTAGGCCCTAGTAAATGTTAAATGTTATTAGCATTTTACAAATTTTGAGAAGAGCTGTGCTCACTCTTTATTAGTTGATTCAGAAGTCATGCCTGCAGGAAACTGTTACTCCAGGTTGATGGAACGTATAGGATTTACTGATTAGCACGTCCAAGTCCTGCACACCCCCCC